CCCAGATAAAATTTCCGTGTATGATTGTGATGTTAAAGGTCCATCAAAATATATTGGGCCAATTAAGGTGCTCTTCCATATTCCGCACCACACATTCACCAACCGACTTGGTGGCGATTCGGTCGTATTAGATGTGGGTTTTGGAGGGACCAATAATGCCTATTCTGTGTATTAATAGTGCCTTGCCTCGAGAACTGGCATTCATCCGACCACAAAACTTCATTCAAAAATTCTGGATTTTCATCCAGTGTGTTTAACACGAAATTGCAAAAATCAAAACGACGTTCCTGGTCTCCGGGCATTAGTTCCTGCGCCAGGACTGGACGATAAGGATATGTACCGTACGTATGTAATATGTTCAGCACCGTCGATTTTGAGTACGAACAAAGGGGCCAGGCATATCCCATGAGCCAGGGCATATCCTGGAACATCCTCAGTGGGTATCCGCTGAAGGTGTGGCACGAGATAAGGGAATACGTTTATGACAACTCCCAGTTTTATACAAGCAATAAACAGCACTGTCAATTGTACAATAAGATGGATGTCTTCGACTGGGAAATGTAATGGCAAAAAGTCTTGCCGCCTCTCTCTTATTTCGATTACACTACCCAAACAACAGTACCATTTCCCAGTATTCTTCATTTATATGCATCTCGTTCTCCCGTACTAGAATTCGTAATATTAGAATATGACTGTATGCAATTGCAAACGACTACACAACAGATTTTTAATGTTCGCCATGATCAGTACCGCAGCAAATAAACCTATTTTTTGGAACTGCTTTTGAAATGTTTTCTTACTCCATGTACTCTTATGTTACATGTATACATAATAAATTTTATTTCTTAAGCACTCAATTATTGTAATATTAACTTTAAATTTAAAAACGATTTAAATAAGAGTGACACATGTAAGAGCGAAAGTTTCCTGGCAAAGTTTCAATTAATTTCACTTTGGAGACGGCACCTAATTACCTTCTTGAAAATCACTTAACAAATGCATGAAATGTGTCATATTCAAAGTCCCATAATTAAGCCAGTTTTTATCGTAATAAAATGAAACTTTTTGTGTTTACTTTTTTTTGTGTACTGCATCTTTTCCTAAATATATATAAGTGATAGGACTTGGGGACCGCATAAAAATTGAATTTTTAAAATTTTTTTTTCAAAATGGGTTTTTTGGTTTGAAAAGCAAGTAAAAACATTCTTTACCTTTTTTAAAACATTTTTCAAATTGGAAGTGCATGTCTAAGCCGAACGGTTCAGGGAATTAGCTATTGGGTCATTTTAAGGCTGGACACCCTGTATATATATACACAGGAAACTTTATCCCAACCAATAACCTGTATACACAGAATAAAAAATCAAATAATTTTAAAAAATCAGTCCTTACAAAGTAATATATATATATATTCTTCAATATAGTAATATAATATATTCTTCACGCTTTCCTTCACATTGCAATCGCTCGACTGCACTCAAAGAAATCTAGTGCCGAAACAA